GAGAGCAGTATACTGTCTAACAATCATGTGAAACAACGCAACAAACATGAGTAAGAAGTCCATATTAGGGTCAGTTTCAGCTACAAGAAACCTAACCAATCGAATATAAGGGAAACAACCAAATAAACTTATATATTTTGTGTGAACTCCACCAAATGCATGTTAAGCGTTTTCTAATAGGTTGTGGAAAATTTAAAAAAAGCCTACGCGAGTGAGTATCGAATCCAGGACCACCTGTTTCCAGTGAAGACTTAACCATTCAACCAAGCATGTACAGGTCAGATGACATGTAGATGATCCGATCAGCGGTGACTCTTTGTCTATACGCAAACAGTTGTCGTATACATGTAATAAAGTCAACCGAGCCCAAGGGGGAGTTGTCATTCAAAGAAGCAGTTCTTGGAAAACTATGTAATCAGAAGGAAAAAACGAAAGAGGGAACTACGTTATTCTGCCCACCCCCCCATAAAAGCGCGTAAGAAGCCCTAAAATTTAGCCCCAACCCTCAGAGAGGACACAAAAAATTACATGAGGAAACATAAGCATCCCCCCCAAAAAATATCCCGCAAAATTTGGTTGTTAATCCACCTCGACCAAGACTTGTTCTGTCCAACAGATTGGTTTCATTTGAATAATCCATTCCGAGGGATACCGAACATACCTCAATATGCCGATTTTTAGAGCAGGAAGTTATTGGTATTTTTTAAAGAAAGAACTCCGCGTGAAGAACATGTTTTTCATGGATTCTGTCCATCGTCTACGTAAACCACGGAACAGGGCACAAGCTGCAAGCCACCACGATTGAATTGTTGGCAATCTCCACGTCATTGCAAATTACTATGAGAGAGGTTCAGCGTTTACCACTTGATTTGATGACCAGATAGATGTATAAAAAAGAACGTCAACCTGATCGGATGAACTGACAAGAAAAGGGTCCTCAGAAACAGTGTTGTCACCCGTTAAGTTTAAGATTTCTTTGCAATTGTATGATTATGGTTAAGAATTTACTTTTCAATATTTCTTCATTTCCTATTTTCACGGCAGAGGGCTTAAAGTAAACAGTCACATCTCCCTTCATCGGAAGTCCTCCGGTAAGAAAGTAAACCCTCCCTTTTAATTTGAGCTCTGGTCGCTTTTTTCGAAGAGTAATAGAAGCGAAATGTTCGCAGACTGATTTTTGGTTGGTGACAAAAATTGGCAATGAAACGAATTTGCAAAAGTCACAACATGAGGTGAAATTCGATGTAAAACCTACAAAATTTTGAAGTAGCCTCCGTCAAAAGCGCTAATGACATTTATCTATCCTTTTTTGCACTGACAGAGATGATGAGCATCACTGGTAGTGATGTTGTGACTTTTGGCGCCAGACCGAGAACTTCGCCCGTCATGTCCGCTGATGGTGCGAGTCCAGACAAAAGCGATAGCGGTTATGAGTGCCCTGATCCTGTAGCAGCGGCGCCACATCTGTGCAATGTGGACTCGGAAACCACGACCAGTAACAGTCAGCAACCGTCTTCTGAATACCTGGATCTTAATAACGATACTTCAGACCAGTCCAAAACTGACATACGTGACTACACCACTGTTTCCAATGTCCCTGTTGACCTGGATTTGACTCCCAAGTCTCACAGCACAAAAAGTATGGTAAAAAAGATTAATCATGGCGCTCCACTGGATCACCCAGCACCATCCGATGACGATCCGAATATTGCTGGTTATGATGATGTTGTAGTTGAAAAGAATTTCAAAAAGCTGGCTGTTGATGCAGGGCAAGATCGGTCCTATGTGAACAAAAAAAACTTTGCGAAGCATCGAATTCTGGTAAACACTATACCAGTTCCGAAACGGAACGATGGTAAAGCCGGGGCAAAAGGCTCAATGCCAGAAAAAGGTCAGGAATCTCAGGATTGGGTCAAGCCTGCAGTCTCTACGAAAGATGCCTACGACTATGCAGAGATTTCATCGTATCCCAGTCCAGAATCGGCACAAGCCAACAAGGGCCAGGAATCTCAAGGCCCGGTCAAAGTTGACCGAGATCCTCCAATCCCTACCGAGTACGTCTACGACTATGCAGAGATTCCATCTGATCCTCATCGCTGTATAACATCAGCATCACAGCGAGACGAGAAACCTTTGGGTCAGGTCAATCTTGACAGGGATCCCCTGGGCTCCACTGACAATGACTGCGACTATGAGGTTCCCTCGGCTTCTCATCGGACTCCCTGTACTTCTTCGCTAGCGTGTGCTGAGAGCATCGCACAGGGAAAAGTCCAGTTGAATGACGGGTGTTATCAGGCTTTAGACCCGCTTGGACTTGAAAAAGCAAATACGTACACACCACTGATTCTGGACAGTAACCCATGATAAAGCTGTTATCGAGTGTGCGGAAAAAACTGACACTCGGGAAATGGAAGATCTTTCTTTGTTTTGAATGCATTTGCCAAGTAAGAATGATGATACAAATTAAGTTTTTCAGTTTTTCCACAAAATTGTTAAAGTTTGTCAGTAAATAAGACATTGACTTTTTCAGAAATATTTACAGTGTTTTGAAATTCATTATTTGTACAATAACAGGCTGTCATTTTACAATAAATAAAAAAAAATCCGAGACCTGTGATCAACATTTCGTTCGTTTCAAACTTAGCAGTCACTCTAAACCAGTCCCCGTAACAAGACTGATTAAGCTCGAGGCGAGATATGATTATCATTTAATGCGAGATTATTTTTAAAAGTGCGTGTAATTTGTTGATATGCCCGTTTACAAACTTTTTTTTGTGGACATAATTATTTTCATATGTTTCAAAGCAGGTCCCATTATCATGCGTTCTAGATCACCCTGTGTGTTATTTGTTTATGATGTTCAGCCGAAATGTAAAATATCTTACTACTTCGCAAACGCTTCAGTACTCATTTACTCCCACAGAAATGCTTTGCTTTGTGAAAATAAAGCTCCACAATACACATAATACTAGGCATTATTATGTATTGACCTCCCAAATGCCTATGCGTGTTTGCTTACGGGAGATGACTCCATAATAGTTGGCATTATGGAATTTTAATAATTCATCCGAAGATTTTTGGGCAATAAATAATAAAGAGTATGAATGTGTTTCGTTTGTGCAAATGTTCATTTCTGATGAAAATCACAGCATTGTTGACATTCTGGTAGACTTGTGGTACACTAAGAACAAAAGTAAGTCTTGAAGCTTTTTATGGTGAAGCTTAGTAAGTTGGTTCGAGAGGTTTGCCCCCTGCAAGGATGTCTCTTTTTGAGCATGTGTGGTTCTGAAAAGAACTGGAGGGGGCTCAACGTCTCCGACAGCATCCTCTGTCCGTTGTCAGGAGACTGCAAAGGTTCCAATGATGAAGCTGCGTATATTGTGTCTGGAGGCAGTTGAGGTGTGAAGAGGATGCTAACTCAGGATCCAACCAAAAGCACTTGGGCAGAACATGGGGTGCTAGCAGATCAATGAGATGTGTCTGTGAAGGAGGGGAGCGTGGGGAAGATTACTCAAGGAGACCCATGGACTGGGATGTGAGGATGGGAAGCCAGATAATGCTGATGTTGAAACCGATGTCTTAAGGTATCGAGTCATGTTTGAGGATTTCGATGGCTTCTCTGATGGGGCGAGGATACCAGTGTTTTCAATGCTGGTGAAGAGTTTAGCTTTGCTCCAGTCAATCTGTGATGACGGCAGGCTTGTCGCCCTCTTTCCTGAAATGGGCTCTCGATGGGTTCATTGAGTCTAGCAATCTATCCCTGCCAGTCTCGCCCAAGTACACTTTGCCGCATTGGCAGTAGTCTTGGGCCAAGACAGCAGAACTCGATAGCGGACTCGATCCTCTCGTGATTTCATTTCACCAATCGACAGCTCGTTCTTGGGAATCTCCTGCAAACTTTTTAATTTTTTCTTTAGTTTTCCTCTGGATTTCAGGAAGAACCGCCCAGGAAATTCCAGTTCACTTATGTTTCACCCCCATTCAACATGTGGAAATTAACGACTTCGACCGTCTGCGGCGGTTACTTGACCGGACCCTCGTGAATCATACGGAAATGTCCCTAGCAATTTGCCAATCCTCTGCTGAGCCTTCTTGTTTTGAAGACTTCGTTTGCACAAAGTTAACGAACGATCACACTGAAACCTTTTGTATGTGCTATAGAAGGCTTAAAACGAATAAAACACTACATAATCATGAAACAAAATGCTACATAAATATGAAATTTAGCCTCAAAGTGGTTTCTAAGATGATAAATTATTTCAGATTTCAATCGATCACTTGGTCTTTTTTCCACTAAATTTGTTAATTTTAGAAGTTTCCCCAGATCAGTGAGATACTGCGTACGACAGGCCAGAATCTCAACTACTTAATACAATCAGTTCTATGTAGCTGGATTTTTTGTTCGACTTTCATGAGTTGTATTTGATACTTCTGCGCAGTGCGATCTATACGTGTTCTACACGCACAAACTCAATCCAACCACATACCGTGCACGGTACACTGCGGCCTGTATGAATTCCTTTGCTGTGACACAGGGACAGATGGGGGCGGGAATACGTTTCTGAGGTTTTTAACACGTTACGCAGCATTTACCACAAGGAAATGTTGCGCTTAAAATAACAGTGACTATTTACTGCTGTTGATTAAGTTTTAATGCATCAAAGGTGTATGCGTAAGGCAAATTTTGTACCATTGTACAATGACTCAATCTCAAAGATAATGAAACAGCCTTTCGTTGAAGTAACGGTTTAGATTTATGGGCAATTCAAAACAAAGAGTGCCCGGTAAGTTGTCGTGGGGCTTGTTTCTATTCGTTTTCATCGTTGGCAGACTCTCGTAAATGATGAATATTTATACGCGTAATTCGTGCCCATTCCCGTCATTTCACAATTACATTTAATCTAAACTCAAATGTACTTTTTGTAATAACTTTGCCTGTGCTGCTAAAAGGAACCATGCCCATTTGTTGGACAACAGAATTATGGCCCAAGTATCCAAAACTGTTCATATATTTACTCTTCCCCTAACTCGGTCAAGTTTAAGTAGGTAAGGCTAATTATGCATTTATCAGCTATCTCTAGTTGTAAAAACAAGACGGTTGAGAAAACCGACAACAGTTTAACTCAAAGCGTGCAGGTATTGTATAGTCTGGTGCTATAGCGCAATACTGGTAAGAGCTATGAGTGAGTTGGCACATTTTTTTATGTATGTTAACTAAAAAATTGAGGTAAATCTTCTTTGGTCTTATTTTTAGTGCAGCGTCAATGAACTTTAACTACTTTACACCTGATTGATAGATACTGCAATTACTGGAATTGTTTATTAAACTCAGTCTGCAATTTATTTCCTCGTTTATCAGGAAATGTTGAAAAGGAAATGAAACTACGTCAAGCAAACCAACAATCTGTTAATTGATTAAGAGAATGTTTAAAAGTGCGCAAAACATATGAGTTGTGGCGGAGGGAGAGGCGAGAGGGCGGGGCGATCCAGGGGGCGAGGTTTTTCCCACAGAGGATAATAAATTGTATTCACTGTCTTGTAGATAAATGCGTCTTGATTAAATGTGGCCCCTAAATCATTTTAAGTTGTAATTCCTTATGCTTTGAATTCCAAAGGAAACTTGAATGTGGTTGTATCCTGCAGGCGCGGCAGATTCTCTGCGCCTCTCTCTACTGCCCTCCCCTGTCTGAATTTGATAGCCATTTATAGAAATGACATGAGCGCTCAAGAATTGTAAACCGTCA